AGAGAGCAACTAAGCCCGTGCGCCACAACTACTGAGCCTGCGCTCTACAGCCCATGAGCCACAACTACTGAGCCCACATGCCACAACTACTGAAGCCCGTGCGCCTAGAGCCCGGGCTCCGCAACAAGAGAAGCCACTGCAATGAGAAGCCCGTGCACCGCAACAAAGAGTAGCCCCCGCTCGCCGCAACTAGAGAAAGCCCGCGCACAGCAACGAAGACCCAATGCAGCCAAAAAATAAATAAGTATATTAAAAAAATTAACAGTGTCCAGTACATAATAATCACCCGTAAATGTTATATCATCATTACCATGTGGGTGGTTTTCTGTGAGCCTGTCTAATAAAAGAACCACAAATCAACGAGGATCACGGTAAAATGATGGAAAGTACTAGGCTCAATTCTTCCTCTGTTATGTGATACCAAGAAGGGTATGTCTTTAAAAACTTTTTAATTAAAAATGTAATACACTGGACTTTGTAACTGGAGAGAGGCGCTCCTACTGGTCCTGAAGAATAACCTGTCGTGTTGTGAACAGCTTATGTGGAGGTCCAACATGGCAGAGAACTCTAGGACCTAAGGGTGACCGCCAGCTGACAGCGCTCAGGGTCCTCAGTTGAATGCAGCCAATAACCTGAATCAGCCTGGAAGCAGATTCTGCCCCATCCAGGTTTCCAGACAAGGACAGGGTCCGGCTAGCACCTTGACTGCAGCCTTGTAAGATCCTAGGCAGAGGGATCCTGGCTTCCCATTGACACATGAGAAATGCCCAGACTTGTGACCCTCAGAAACTGTGACCTGATAAGTGTGTATTGTTTGTGTTCCATGTAATGTACCAACCATAGATAATTTTGTAAATAAAGAAGGAAAAAGAAAAAATTCACCCATCGTCCTCTCATTCTAATCCAATTATCATCCTGGAAATTCTTCCTAAATATGGTTTACTGTATAGTGAATCAGAGTACGTATACAATTTTACAACCTGAATTTTTCACTTAGATTATACACGTTCTCCCATGTTAGTAATATATTTTTCACATTTATCATTTTTAATGGATGCAAAATTTTGTATCAAAAGGTAGAGTGTTTAGTCAGTCAACTATTGTTGAACATTCCTGAGGCTTCCAAAATTCTATTATTAATAAAACACTTCTATCAAAACAGGCATTATATGTCTTTTTTTTAAGCCATATTTTGGATTAGTCCCTAAGGGGAATTAATCTGGTAAAAATATGTATCTCAGAACAAAATATATTAGGTACCTCTTGCCAATTTCAATGATACTAGAAATATTTAAAGTACTAGTTTTACCATATTCTTTTCAGTATTGAATATTTTAATGTATTTGAATTTAAATATTTAAATTTAATCTTATTTAAATTAAAAAAATTTTTAAGTGAAAAATGGTACTTTGAGGTTTTAACTACCTTTCTTTAATTATCAGAGCAAGTTTAAATGTTTTTCTGTTTGTTTCAACTTATTTTTCTTTAAAGAATTAGATTGAGTTGCCAAACTTCACTGAGACACTTTCTTCATCTATAAAGTGCAGATAATATTACGTACAGCTCACTATTGCTGTGAAATCAAATACAGGCAGACCTCATTTTACTGTACTTCACAGATATTGTGTGTTTTATAGGTTGAAGGTCTGTGGCAACCCTGCATCGAGCAAGTCTATCGGCACCATTTTCCCAACAATATTTGCTCAATTCATACCTCTGTACCACATTTTGGTAATTCTCGAAATATTTCAAACCCTCCACCAGTGAAAAGATTACAACTCTCTGAAAGCCCAGATGATGGTTACACCTTTTAAGCAATCAAATATTTTTAAATTAAGGTAGGTACAGGGCTTTTTTAGACATAATGCTGTTGCACACTGAATAGACTACAGGATAGGGTAAACCTAACTTTCACGTGCACTGGGAAACCAAAAAGTCCGTGTGACTCACTTTATAGCGATATTCATTTTACTGAGGTGGTCTGGAACCGAACCTGCGATATCTTCAAGGTCTGCCCATTCGTGAATCATTTAAGTAAAAATACTGAGGAAGCCCGGCACATAGCAGATGCTCTGTTTTTAGTGAAATGCACAAATCAATGAATAAGGGGTCAGTTATACAGAACTACACTGTGGCCAACAATATTAATCTAAGATTCATGCAGAATCCAGACACGCCGAAACTAGGGGTGGGGAGAAAGGTCAATTTTCTGAGCAACAACAAAAGGTGGAGCAGGTTGACTGAAAAACAGGAAGGTGTCACTGCCATCATGTCTTTCCCATAAACACCCGCCTACCTTGAAAACAGGTATTTATTTACGAAGAGGCGCGACAGTGCGGCTCAATCTCAAAGCCCGGATGTCAGGTAATTCCATGTGCCCCTCTCTCCCTCCCTCTCACTGATTTCCTCCCCCTAAATCAAGGATGCCCTAGGAGGTTTTTATTTCCACATCTGATAACAATTTCCTCAGCCACGGAAAGAGCCTATTCCAGGTTCTTCTACTGCCTGTTTCAACAACAACAAAAGAAAGAAAACATAGAGCATCCTTTTATTATTTGAGGGAAAAACCATTATTTATATGATCAAGAGGAAAGGCTCTGTGGAAAGCACTTAATAAATCACACAATTGCTACATAACTGAAAGGCTTCATTATTATCTCACTGGGAGGTGTGAATGCCACAAAATAGTTTGGTTTAGAACTTAGAAACCAAAGTCATGCAATCAATCAGCTCCATAAAAGGACCTACACCGGATGTGAACTTGGTCCTAGATTTCAGTTTCTGATGAAATATCCTGCAGCTGTTGCTCACAGACAGGGCTATTTTGGGCCAGAATGCAAACAGTTTTTCATTTCTGTTATTCAGAATCTCTCCTGATAATACCAATATCCCTGATAAGAGAAATTTTGAAAAAAAAATAATAATCATGAAGGGAATGCATTATTCCACTTCCTACCAAGTGACCAGCAGTACAAACCTTCTGGTCGCTTTGATGCCAAGACAGCTGTTTGAAGGATAAAAGCCTCAGAAGGTGGGTCTGATTGCATCAGTTCATCAGCTGAGCTTCCACGAGCAGTTTATAATTTACTTGGTAAAAACAGATAGTCAAACATTGGTCAAGTCCCCTGAAAGGCATCCAGAAAGTTGTCCTTGCTTATTGCACTGACACAGAGCTGAAAAAGTGATGCAGAAGAACCATGATCCCTTATGAAACACAGGCTGCCCTCCCCCTGGAACTCGGTCCGTTTGCTGGTCCTTTAGAAATAGCGAGTCGGACCAAAGGTATGAGGGCAGCAGACATGGTTCCTAATAAGAAACCAAGTAAATGCTAATTTTAAAACAAAAGCCAAATCGCCATGTTCCAAGCACTCCTAGGAGCTGCCTTCTGCATAGAAGAAAATACATATTCTCAAAAGTCAGCTTATGAAATTACCAAATGAAAACTATAAAGCATGCAAATGTTTTAATGATTCTGATATTGAACACTCTTCACACTAAAACTAGACTACCCGTTCAGTTACAGTACCAAGCTAGTCCAGTTTTTCAATGTCTAAAAAGCACAGCTTATAGCAGGGAGAGCCACACCGCCCATGACAATCTCCCAAAGTTTACGAAGTTTAATGCCCAAGGCATCCTCCTGTCCCCTGAGACATGGCAAATTTCACGTGGAGGTAAGATGGAGATAGACAGCTCTGGGGCCGTTATTTTTTTTTTTTTTTAATGCAGGAAGAGGTTTCATCTAACCATTCAAACCCTCAATTTTAAACTATTTGCAATCAGGGGCATCAAAGTGTGGACTCACAGACTGTCAGGGCTGGATGGGCCCACAGAAATTATTAGTCCAATCCTCTCCATTTACAGCAGGTAACAGAGCCCCAGAGAAGGTACATGACATGTTCAAAGTCTCATAATGACTGAGATGACCCCAGGAATCCAGGAAGGAGAATGGCAATCAGGCTTGTCTGTGACACTCAAGTTCCTCCAGCCCCACCGCTAGCTTCTCACTACATCCTGCTCTGATTAAGCACTGAACTGCACGGGTTACTGAGAGCAAATGTGTATCCCGAGAAAAAGGGAATTCGGCACTTTGTCCCTCTTCACTACAGACCCCGCATTTCCGGTTCAGACCGGACTGCCCACTTCCCTGGCACACAGCGCCGCCTCTCCAGGGCTCCCCCCGAGAAGTGCGAGCCCAGCATTTACAGCCTCCCCTGGTCCAGAGGCACAAAGCCCTGGGTTATGCATCCTCTTTCTCTTCAGTTCCCACAAGAGGGAGAAGTGGTGGAGATAACAACAGACTCCTCCTTGGGCCTTGACAATCGCGAGAGCATAAGCAGTAAACGAGGCTGGTTTTGCTTGGAATATGTGATTCCTGGCAATTAGTTTACGGCTGGTGTGGCCACATGAATAATTCCTCTACGTTGCATAACCCAGCTTTGCGACCTGCTCTCCCTGTGAGTACAGAAGCCTGGGCGTACGCGTCTCGTGGTGCTCGCTGGCTGGGGTGGGTGGAGGGAGCGCACTGCAGCAGTAGCTGCTGATGGAGGGGAGAACCAGGACCCCCCAACATCCTTCTCATGGCCATTCAGCCGCTCGGGTTCAGTTTATGAGCCTCACGTCCACACGTGGACAGCTGGCGGTTTCGACGTCGGACTGCTTTATCTCCCAATGGTCTTGAATATGGGTCGAACTACAATTATGAGAGAGAAAGAAAAAATATCCCCGTGCACTTTTATCTTAGGTGTTAGGTACCACCGGAGAGAGCCCGGCAGCTAATACCACGTGACAAAACCACTCCACGATGACACCAGAAAAGAAGAGAAAAGCTGTTACATGTTTAAAGAGTCCCTGCATTTTGATACTCTTCCCAACTGATTCCACCCTTGCAAACAACATCGAAGTAAAGCACAGTTTTCACATCAACAGACCATCTTATTCCGTCTTGGCATTAAAACATTTAACTGCATTTTTTAAATGCTGTGCATAAGGAAATGGTTTACCTTCCAGCATTTTTTGCAGACTGTTCCTCATGACATGGATGTTCTCTATCCCGATAAACTGAAACTTGATATTGGAATAATTGTCTTCGCTCTCATAGCCTTTCCCTGCAGCACGATTTGCCATCGCATTAAGCTGCAGTGGGCAGCAAAACAGAACAGTCACCAGTGATATTCATGAAACAATCACAACACTTCACGGCTAATATCCATAAGAACATTCAACATGATGTGCAGAAACATGCTTTAAACCCCGGGAACACCGCGCTGGGCTAGGTAGCTACAGACACTCGTGCTGAGCTTACGTTCAACAACATCAGTTTGTCGATGTGGCAACATTTTCTGAGCTGGAAGCATCCTAGAGATAAGCCCTTTTGGAGACGTTCCCTGTCAGAGATGCCAAATCCAATGTGGGATTCTGTACAGAGCCAAGTCGCCCCAATTTAATACCAAACATGACAGCCTTAGGTTGGCAGAAGAATATCTGCAGATACAGTTGGCAACATAAAGCTCTGTAAGTTAAAGTATTATATCTTCCAGTATTAGAATGCCAACAAATACATCAACATATAGGAATAGTTACGTCATTCTAATTTGCCTACAAGAATCCCTCAGGTACCCAGCTCAACTTTGAGCAGGAAATGCTGAACAAAACAGAGAGAGGGCAAGACATGTCCTCTGGCCACCCTATTTAAATCTCCAGAGAGGATTTTTTTCTATCACATTCATTATCATAATTTCATCTATAAAAAGTCACGGTTCCTAATGCAAACTGGGTTAAATGGTGATGGACTTTGAAGAAGAAATTTATGATATGCAAACTTCTGCCTTATTCCTGTGTAACTAAAATCAAGAAGCGGACAAGTCCTGCCTTAGCTGAGAAATACACAGATTTCTAGAATGAATGTATTATTGTGAATACTCCATTCTTGCTGTTCAGCTAAGTGGGCCATCACATCCTAGACACCAATATGCACTGACCATTCTCTTCCTCTGCCCACAAAGGGCAGAAGGGCTAGCCCAGGCAGAGAACTCATTACCAAAAACATATCCGTTTTTAGGACCACAATGCAGCACTCGGGGGGATATTCATACTTTTTAAAAATCTAAGCTTAAGAAGCCAAGTTAAGTTAAAAGCATACGTATTTTTTGACCCAGATTTCCTATGTGTGAGAATCTGACACTATAAAAATACCAGCACATAAAGACAGATGTCCAAGGATGTTTACTGCAATCTTTTTTTTTTTTAATAGTTGAGAGTGAAAAAACAGAAAACCTATGAATATCTCCATAGGGCCATGATTGGATGAATTATGGTATATTCATACCCTGGACTTCTAATAGGCTCAAGTAGAGACACAGAGATAGAGATAGACAGATATATAGATGTCTAGATATTGCAGGGAGTGGGAGGGAGGAGGGAAAGAAAAAAAAGAGGGGTGGGGAGGGAGGGGAGAAGAGAGGAGATACTGGGCCATGACATGTGAAGTGAAAAGAGTAAGCTCCAGAATAATATTCATACAATTAACCCATTTTTTGTAAAACAAGCCGACCTACAGACATGCATGCTGGGGTAAGCAGAACAGAAATGAATGGAAGGCTATACCAATTTCGCAGCTGTTGCAGCAGACAGACAGAGGCAGCACGTGTGGGGAGCGGCTGCCAATACTACTCCAGATGCTCCTCCAGGCTTTGTTACAAACCAGATATAGTGGGTTTGTAATTTAAATAACAGAAAAAAACATATGGCAGGCCCCTCACTTTCCTGCTCCGTGATTCAGCTCACATGACATCAGCTGGGGCACGCCCCACTACCCTGTTTCCCACTTACGAAAAGATCATCCCCTTTCTCCCAGGCATGCTATGAGAAGGATAAAGGGTTTGGTCTCAATAAAGAAAAAAATATAAAAATAGTGTTATTTTTAAGACAACTGATGTTCATGCTTTAAATTTTAAAAATATTTTAAGAGGAAAATTTTTCTAAAATTACCTATAGACATTGTTCTTTTGAAACATACTATTATAAAAGTATCACTGGTTTGTATAATTATTTTCCAAAGTTGCTGGCTTATTCTTTACAAGCTTCATAAATAAAATGGTTAATAGGATATGTGCAAGTATCTTTATGTTACATGAACCTTATGTTTATTCTGTATCTTGAATAATTCAAGTTAAGCCTTCTCACCACATACCATACTCTTTTTAAACAGTGCAGTGAATACAAACCAAAACACTATTACTTTAATCTATAATTAGGACCCTATGTTCACATTTTTTAGTAGTTGATTACCTATGACCTAGGAGAATTTATCGATGGTCTTCTTTAAAAGCAAAGGAGCCACACAAGATGGCCTCTTAAAAGTCAACGGTACTTCTCATGATGAACAGAAGGTGGCAATATTTAATCTACCATCCAAAGTGTACTTTCTCAAGGTTTCCACATATTTTACAGGCCCTGTCAGGATAATGGGGCACTAGCTGACCCTTCAAAGCAGAAAATACAGTTTCATAATTAATAAAAAATTCAGAAGCTATCTTGGACCTATAGGTATATTCATTCAGTTAGAGTATCTCTTATATAAATAAAACACTAAGTCTAGTTTGGTGCCCTGTCCCTTAGGCTGAGAACTCCATTTCACAGGCAAAGAAAAAGCTGTTCATTTCGGCCCCTAAAAGTTCTCAAATAGTGTAAAAAAAACAACCTCAAAAGGTCACATACTGTATGTTTTCAATTACAGAATGTGCTTGAAATGACAAGCTTATAGAGGTGGAGAACAGATTAGTGGTTATTTGTGGTGATGTAATTGTTCTTTATCTTGACTGTGGTACTGAATATACAAACATACATATGTGATAAGACTTTATAGACTAAACACACACACACACACACACACATACACACACACACACGACTACAGTAAAACTGGGAAAAACGGAACAAGATTGGTGGATTTTATCAATGTCAATATCCTGGTTGCAATGCTGTACACAGCTTTGCAAGATGTTACCACTGGGGGAAAGTGGGTAAAATGTACAAGGCATCCTTCTGTATTATTCCTACAACTGCATGTGAATCTACAATTATCTCAACATAGAAAGTCTAATTTAAAAAAAAAATTCTCAAACAGATAAAACAATGGAGGTAACAGCATTCCAGTTTCAACCTATGCTTAAAGAACACAACGGACAACTGAAAAGTGGTACCGGAAAAAGTGCCCTGTTTCCTAATCCAAGGTCACTCTGCTATTTATTTGATCATCTCAGCATCTTTGGGTGCAAAAAAACTCATAAGTGAAACAAAAAAATTCACTCATTCTCAACAAACACTTAACGAACGCCTACTGTGTGCCAGGCACTGAATGGAATAAAAACGTGAATAAGAAGTAGTCTCAGCCACCACAAGCTTATCATCAAGTATGGAAGTGCGAGCACACAACACCAAATAACGACAGATAATACCCACCAGGACTGGGCAGGAGCTGAGAGCCTGGTGGAGGCGGTGGCAGTAGTTAGAATCTGGAACAGCCCCACGTGGCCTAGGGCCTCAGGGGTAACGTTTCATGATGGACTTTAATAACCAGGAAGCATGGAGAGAATGGGGGAGGGCATCCCAGACGAAGCGATGAGAAAGGGAAGAGGTAGGGTATCAGTGGCCACCAAAGAAGCAGGTGGGTATCAGTTGAGTCAACCAGTGCGAGCACAGCAGGAGGTTCAAGTCTGGCGGCAGCAGCAAGAAAGGAGGCTAGAAATTATTAGGGTCCTCTACACACAAGCTCGATTAAGAAGTTCTAACTTTATCCGTAGCAGCAGAGAGCCACTGAAGGCTTCTGAGCAGGATTAATTGAAACATTTGAGATTTAGTATCCATGACAGAGAAGACCCACTGGAGTGGGGCAGAGGACGTGAGCTGCACAGAAAGGTGGCTGGTCTCATTTATGGCCAGGACTCTATGCATCAAGCTGGCACAGAGCAGGCACCCGGTGAAGATTTACTGACGGGCTGACCGACCAAATGAATGTGTTAACAGAGTGAGGCTGAGAGGTGAACAGGCCAAGAATGTTAAAAAAAGAACAGAATCAAATTCTTTCCCCCACAATCTTAAATCATCAATCAGACACATCAAAATCATGGAAACGCAGTCAACCCCAATCTGCATATCAAGTTCAAGGTCAGCCGGTCAGCATCTCAGTCCCGGAGTCTAGCATTTCAGCAGAGCACATTCTGTACCTGAATGCCAGGACCTGATCTGACGTGGCTGAAAAATGAGAATTGAAGTTGGTCTTGGCAGAAGGAGGCCTGGGCCACGTTCTAGCCTGTGGTGTCAATTAATGGTCCTTTTCTCTCCCTGCATCTGTATCTGGTGAAATGAAGAATCTTATCTTGTGATATAAACATGAAAATAAGAGATGATTTTATTTCTTGCAACTACTGTCTACAACTGTGCTAACCAAAATCCTCCTTTCCTACCCCCGAAGGAAGAATTAATAACTTTTAAATCACCGTCCAGCTCAACTTAAAATCCCAACCCCATATATGATGCAAAATTTTCTCCTCTTATTATAGGCTGTTTGGGCTGGTGAGGGGTCTGCTCTGGTACTTTCCTTTTCCTCCTTCTTCTAGGCTCTATCTTTATATTGGGGAGGGGGATAAAAGAGGAGGTAAATATCTCTTTGTAAAGCTGGACGAGGCTGCTGTTCTCTCTCCATTGGTCATCACTGCTTTTCCGGTTAACACTTGCTGACCAGCACTGCCCTCTCTGGCATTAAGTGTCCAAATCCTAGGGCAAGTCCATGGGCTCCCGGGAGGAGGAGGTACACAGCTCGCTGACATGAGACCCACCTTGGCTTGAGCCTCTTCCGAGGCCCCCGGCTTCCCTCCCCAGCACGTACCCCACAGTCGGCCGCAGCTGGGAACCTCCAGTTGGGGGTGGAAGCCGGGCCTCAGCAAGATGGCTCACGTACAAGTTTCTTTCTCAGTGTCCACTGGACCCACAGGTCCCCCCTCCATCCCTGTCCTGCCAAAGAGGGAGAACAGATGCCCCACTGCCACTAAACGCCCACGGCTCCCCTTCCCCTGCTCACTGCCGCAGTGGAACAGGTCGGCCACACATCCCACGCCGAAGTGACCTCCTAGCTGCCCCTCTGTCACGTACCCCGATCTCTACAACAGATCCTCCCAGATCCCCCCCTCACAGGATTCAGTGAGTGGAAACCACCTAATTACTGATTCCAGAGACACAGGAAAACTTCCAACATGACCTCCTGTCTCACAGCTAAAGAATCGCTCACAAGGTGAAATCAGAGGCCGTTTAACCACTAAGCTGTCTTTGGAGGAAGAGCCAGGACAAGGGGCCGGGCGTGAGCTGAGCCCCCGGCCGGCCTGCTCACCCCTTCCCTCCACTGCCCGGCACCCCTCCCAGGCCGCCAGCGTCAGAGCCTGGCTCACAGGCCTGCTCACACCTCTTGCCCCGGCCTGAGCGTGTACGAGCCTGTGGTTGGTCCTTCAGCTCTGAGTTTCCAGCCTCCCTGCAAATGTGCTCAGAAGGGGAACGCTGTGGAACCTGACAGTGGACCCAAGGCTCCCCTGGATATCGCTGTCAACAGACCGTGATCAAACAGAAGTAGCATGGGCTCAGGCGTCAGATAAGCCTAGATTTGAATGGCTTGACCTTGGACACATGACTGAACCTCTCTCAATCTGAGACCTTACCCATAAACAGAAAAGAACAGCTCCTAATTTGCAGGATTATAATAAGAACTGAATGGGAAAGTGCCTGGCATTTTTACAAGCTCAGCAAAGTCCTAGAACAAAGTAATGTTAAAGTCATGAGTGAGGCTGAGATAGAAGGAGTTCGATATCATTTTAAAATCCAACAACTATGGCATCAACATGATCTCCTATCTTCTTAATGCACCAAATTCTAGCAGTAACATATGACCTCGAGGGTATGATTTTTCTTAACAGATACTCAGTTCATGCTGAGGCCCTCACTGCCTTTGCCTCCTGAGATTTTAACATCAACAAGTAATGCAGAGGCTTTCATCTGAACAGGCAGCATCCGGGGCGAGCCTTGCTCCAAGGACAAGAATGACTTCTAGCCTTTCTCCTTTTCAGTAAACCTGTGAGCAAACCTGGCCAGGGCCCATCTGTCTGTCCACCACCCACAGCAAACATGGACCGGGTCTCCCGGCTACCGAGGAATAAAAATCAACGGACGTGATCTTTAAAAGAATGAGAGCTCTAAGCAAACAGGTGAAGACTCCTGCGAAGGTGTGTGTGCCTGGGAAATAGGCAGAGGGCATGACTTGTATGAGACACCAATTTTCTTTAAGGGATTAGCATCCAACTTCTTATCGCCAAGAGCAAACGCACTCAGTGCTAAATATAGCCTTCAAATCAAATCCTCTGGATTAATTTATGTTACGTCTGGACTATGCCTGGCCCAACAGCTGCCACATTTCCCGGAAGGTCTGCACAGCGTAGTACACGCTTGGGTCGTTGGCCCTTAAAGCAGCAGGCGAACCTGTCCGCCTTTATTTAAACCTAGGAAAATGGGATCGGAGAAGGGCACCCCAATCCACTTTAAAGGCCCTGTCTTCCCGTCCTTTTCTTATCTTGTCTTCAGTACGTGTGTCTAGGACAGGCATGCATTCAGTTGTCTCTGACTGTTAGGCAATTCAGAGCAGCTCCACTGTCCCGACGCAAAGGGCACAATGACAGGAGGGAAACAGTCAATGCGAGAAGGATGAAGCAGAGAGAAAGCACAAATCGAAAGAGAGAGTAAGAGTCAGAGCCTGGCATCTTTCGAGTGAAAACCTTCAAGCAGAGAAGCTATTTCTTCCCCAGTCTGAAGCTCTTCCCTGCTGTGCTTTGAAAATCTGTCCAAAAGGAAGGGACTCCTTTACGTGTCATCTACTAGAATGTGATCCAGCTGCAACATGTTTTGTCCTTGAGCTGCACGGTTGGTCTGCTGATCTGGTATCTGAGAGTAACTCATCCTCACTGCCCACCCCTCCACGGCCATCCCACAGCTACCCTCCCGTTAGAGAGGAAGGGACTGTTCTGAGGGCAGTGATGTGAGTGATCTTACACTGGGCAGACATCAAACTTAGTGATCGAGACCGTGAATCACAATATTTAATGAAATAGGGCTCAGAGAAGCAGTGAGATTGCCAGTCTGAGTGGCTACACAATGGATGGCATCCAGTTTCCATGATTTCTCTTATCGGCCACAAGTATAGACCCTATCTGTAATTACCCACTCCTAACATCAGTGTAGACTTTGAAGTGACTTGGGCCGTTGGTCATATTTCCTCCTTCCTGTTCTAATGTTTCTATGTCCTTATGTGTTCTTTTTTGATAGCTTCTTTGACATAGAATTCACATGCCATACAATCTATCCATGTAGATAGAGACATTTCATATAAATGGAATCATACAACATGTGATCCTCTGTGACTGGCTCCTTTCACTTAGCCTAACACTTTCAAGGTCCATCCATGTTGTAGCACCTATCAGTACTTCACTCCCTTAGTAATAATAGCCAAAAAATATTCCAGGGAATGGATATACCATATTTTATTAATCCATTCTCAGTTGATGGAACTTGGTTGTTTCTACTTTGGGGCTATTATTAACAATGAATATTCACTTAGAAGTTTCTGTGTGGACATATGTTTTCATTTTTCTTAAATTAGGAGTGGAATTACTGGGTCACATGGTAACTTTTATGTGTAACATTTTGAAGTCCTTATGTTCTTTCAACCTTTTTATGATTAAAAATTCTTTCACACTGTAATTTACAAAATAAAGGTTTCTTAAAATCCTCCTCTCACCTCACAAGAAAAGCCACTGTTAACAGTTTACTATACATACCTTCAAACTTTTTTCAATGAAAAAACTATAGAACGTATAATTTTTATAATTTAATTATTATTACATACATGGCATTACAGATTTTCTGTAGCTCACTCTTGTTGCTTCACGGTCTATCTTGGACACTGTTTCACCCACGTGGAAAAAGAACACGCAGCTCTCTCTCACAGTCATAGGCCCAGGTCTATTTTCATAACTGGCAAGAAATTCCTATGCCAAATATGTTGAATAAAGGCCATTTCTCTCTGTCACCTCATTTTGTCCCATATATTCCATGGCCCTGTAGGTGATTTTGTTTCCATGTATTCAATGGCACATACCTTTGAGGACTCCATGTGTTGGCTGGTTTACAAAGAAATGGGCCTAAGGAGTGAAATTACAAATTATACTTGACCTGACCCTGACTAGTGTCAAGAACATATAAAGCTGAGTGGGTGGTAAGCATTAAGATGGACTTGGTCTACCCGTTGATAACTAGATTATTTCCTGTTGGTTGTTCTATTCAATTATAAAATTAATATATGAATACCTGCATAATTATAAAATATTTTCAAACAAGGTAAGTAGAAAGTTCTCTACCTCCCTCAAGCCTCCCCCCTTCTCCATGCAATTTTAATAGGTTAGTGTTTATCCTTCCAGATCTTTTTCTATTTTAATTTAAATTTTTACCTACCTATAGTTTGGTTTTTTCCACAGACACAGTAGTATACACTTTAATTTGTGACTTTTCTTTTTTTACTTAACATTACATTTTGTAAATCTTTCCAAGTCATAGCTACAGAGCACTACAAGTGGAATTTGCAATAGAAGAGGTGAATATCTCACAAAAACTGAACTGTAGGAATTCCACAGTAAATTTCATACTGTCAGAGAAGAAACGGTCCTTTTATAAACAAACCAAAAAAAATAATGTGGTATATTTAGGAGAGTAATCTCCAACACGAAACCACACTTTCATTGTATGCACTATGTACCAAGCACAATGCTCAGAGCAGGGGAAATATCAAAAGTACCTGCCGACCTCAGGGGCCCCAGAGGCAGCTGAGCAGGGCAGCCACGCACAACTGTGCAAAGGGAAACAGCGCCTCTGCAGATGGGGCTCCCTGAGCGGGTGAGGGTGGTCAGGGAGCATGGCCCCATCTCCCATTCCATGATTCAGAGCGGCAAAGACACACACCAGCATGGTGACACCTACTTTAGGCCGAGTGTCCACGACGTAAATGAAGTCGCTTCCTGGACTGGCCTTCCTGATGGCCTGGAGCATCTGCTCGTCCTCCAGGCACCGGGCACTGAAGCCAGACAGGGGCTGGCTGCTCCGGCAGATGGAGACCTGGGGGGAAGCAACGCGGCAGCATCAGGCAGCAGTGCGACGGCACCTCCCCGGAACCCTCAAGACCACCCTCACAAGGCCCCCCAGTTCACTGACGCCCACCACTAGCTCGTAAAAGTATCAATGCCTTCTAGAAACCGAGGCTGCTTTCTTTCTAACTCAAGTCAAGAAACCACTATATGGGCAAGCAGTGCAAAAAGTTTCTCTGTGTAAGAAATTAGGAATGTGTAAGGATGTTTAGGTGGGACCCAAATTATGAAACGTAAAGCCAGTTAAATATCCTACTTTCCTCTTCACCACTACTGTTTCATCTTCTTGCCAAAGTAGAAATATAAAGTAACTATTCTAGTAAAACTTATAAAAATTATAAAAGTGACTTCTTTAGTGTTTCCATCATTTACTAGCCCACTTAGAAACAACACAAATACCAAAAACCAATTCTAGGGCTTCCCTGGTGGCGCAGTGGTTGAGAGTCCACCTGCCGGTGCAGGGGACGCGGGTTCGTGCCCCGGTCCGGGAGAATCCCACATGCCGCGGAGCGGCTGGGCCCGTGAGCCATGGCCGCTGAGCCTGCGCGTCCGGAGCCTGTGCGCCGCCAACGGGAGAGACCACAACAGTGAGAGGCCCGCGTACCGCAAAAAAAAAAAAAAAAAATTCTAATCCTAAATGGGGGAGTTTTCACAGTGATGAAGCCCAGGCTGCTGCTAGCTTCTAAGGACAGCAGGCATGGACCTGGGCTGACCAGGTAAGTTAGAAGCAAGGTCTTTCTGGGGAATTGATCTGCATTCTATTCTTCGATTTCTCTACTCTGCGATTCTAAGAGTACACTACACCACTGCCCTGGTGATGCAGTAGTTGAGAATCGCCTGCCAATGCAGGGGACACAGGTTCAAGCCCTGGTCCAGCAAGGTCCCACATGCCACGGAGCAGCTGGGCCCATGTGCCACAGCTACTGGGCCTGTGCTCTAGAGCTTGCGAGCCACAACTACTGAGCCCACATGCTACAACTACTGCAGCCTGCGCGCCTAGAGCCCATGCTCCGCAACGAGAGAAGCCACCGCGATAAGAAGCCCGCGCACCACAACGAAGAGTAGCCTGTGCTCGCTGCAACTAGAGAAAGCCCACGCGCAGCAACAAAGAGCCAACGCAGCCAAAACTAAATAAATAAATGAATAAATAATATATACACAACAGCATAAACAATATACATAACAGCATAAACATTTCCCTGAGTTATTAATAGGTGAGTATAGCCACAACCTCACAGCTGTAAAACTTACACTTTTGTGGCAAAGTACTTTTTATGGATTTAGATTTATAACATTTAAATTGAACTCAAATCACCAAATACAATCTAGGAATGACTCTTCTGAAGAACTGAGCCCAGGCACCCCCTGTGTAAGAGGATGCAGGCAGCCCCCCAGCTCGGGGCAGGCTGAGCAGGGAAACCTCCCCTGAAAACAGCCATGGCCCAGCCCGTTCAGGGCGCCTGCATGCAGGGCTTCATCCTGGAAGCCACTCCAGCTCTGAGTCCAAGCACAGCCTAACTGTCCTTAAAGCCCATGCCAGCACTCCTTAGCCAGGGTTTGGTGAGCTTTGGCACTCCTCGCTGGGGAAGGCAGGGATGATTCTTACTAACCATATGATCCTCCAGCAGAGAAGCTCCCGGCAGGACCGAGAACTGCAGACAAGTAACCGGGCAACCGCCCGAGGGTTCCAGTACCTTCTGTGACAGAGAGGGGCAATTGCTGAGGCGCTCCAGGAACTCTGTGCCTGCAGCCAGAATTCAGGGGGCCAGTGCCTGTGGAGTGGGAAGCAAAGCAAAGGGGCAAGAGAGGGGCTCCAGGGCTGCTGAATTCTCGAGCTGTTGGCAGCAGAAGTCCAACCACAGAGTGGAGGAGAAAGGGCCCCGGGGGTCTGACCGTGGACGGGAGGCCGGCCAGCAGCAAGGCAAAGTGACGGCAGGGACCAGAGGGGGCTTGGGGACAACAGGCAAGCTGCAGTGGATGGATAGAGAGTAAAGCGCTGCAGATGCTCTCACTGCGCTCATCCAGGCTCCCGTCTCCTATGATGTGCAGAGGGGTCACGTCAGCCGCTCTGACTGGAGCAGAAAACAATTCTGAGCTGGCTTTGTCTGGGCTAAAGAAATACTAATTAAGGACAGCTACCATCAGGCAATTTCTTAGATCCTATCAGAAGAGCTAGACGGGGAAGAGACCATATCTCAACGGGGAGAATTTGTCCAAGGAAGCATACGGCGCATCTAAACTCACTCAACTAGTGCAGGTCCAATCATGAAATGAAGCCAGCTAGTGACAACTATTACTACTTACCTTCAGGCTGAGAGCAGTTTTCAGTGAAGGGTTAAGTCAGAACAGAGTTACACTATGAAATGTAGTCGATAAATTAAACCAGATATATTAAATGTTAATATTTTGTAGTTACATTTTCTTAATAGTCTATAGATAGGCTCCAAACAGAATTCCTCACTGACTCAGTGACTGCTGGCATAGAGCTGTCCGCTTTGTGAAGAGCGGTGAGTAGTCTCTAAGTGCCCTGTCCACCCTATACACACCTCAGAGAGTCAAGACTGTTGAGAGAATTGCACCATTACCTGGCAGCATTTCTTACTGATGTCAGCCACCTGAGAGCAGAGATAAGACTCCTCAATGGTAAACTGTCATGAGAGCCTCATTTATGAAGGCTACTGATAATGTATAAAACAGCCAATATTTTTTGAATGCTTATTATGTGGTAGGCACTATTAGAAGAACTCTGCGTATTTTTATTTAATCTTCCCAACTACCATATACGGTAAGATCTATTTGCTCCATTTTATAGATGAGATAACCACAGCACAGAGAGGTAAAGGAACTTGCCCAATGTCACAGAGCTAGGAGTTGAATCCAGGCAAAATATTTTCTGAACCAACATAATATAGCGCCCATGTGTGTAAATAAGTCAAGAAGCATGAAAGAGAATTAAGAGGCAGGATTCAAAAAGATCTGGCTTTTAATCCAAGGTGTGTTCTCACTTCCTATATAATCTTAGGTAATTTACCTATCATCTCTGAACCTTGGTTTTTCTCATCTTTAATACAGGGATAATAATAATACCAAAACTACAGAGTGTGATGAGGTATATAACACTCCTAGAACTATGCCTAACACATAGTAAGTTTCAATAAACATTATTTATAAAAGAAGGGCAAGAAGGTCTATATTTTTCTTAAGGAAAATTGCCTCTTTGGAAATCTTTCAGACTTGGGCTTCCCAAAGATTTGTACTGTGATTTGGGGATACCATGCTATTAATGATTTAAAGCAGAACTGCTTTCTTAAAAGTAATTAAAATATTTAGTAAGAAAGAACAAAGGATACCGCGGCTTCCAAACACAAGTGACACTGATACATCTCTAACTGTGATCTACAAAGCTGTTGAACCGTTTGATATCCAAAAGGATTCTGGAGGCTCTATGTAACTCATGTGTGGTTTAAGGCTTGAAATTAACGTTAAGTGCTGCCCTTAACAGCTGGTAAAATCAGCAGGGCCTCAAATGGTCAGCAGCAAGCTCCCCTCCATACTCTGCTTCCGTGGATTAAGTCCCCAGCTAAGCAACCCTTCTCGCAAAGGACCAGATGCAGCCCCTTCTCATCCCAGAGCAGTGCGTTTCGTTCCCTGCCAGCCCATGGAATTACTCAAACCAGCCAATCACATGCCCCCCTGGGAACCAGGGGTCCACTCATCCTCCTGAGACTACAAAGCCTGCCTCACACCATCTCTGCTGGTTCACTCTATTCCTGAGTGCAACCTTCCTACAGCCCTGCCTGCCATGCAGTGCCTTCCTCCCCTGGGCAGTGGGCATATGTAACTAATAAACCTCATTTGTCCAGTGTCAGATGTCATGTGTTCAGTCAGCCCAGTAAACCCTAGGGCAGGAATCCTGACCTCACCAACGGGTGAACAGGAAGTGATTACAACTCCATGTATGATAAAAGCCGGTCCAAAGGTAATTATGTACCATCAGCGGGGGGATTTATATCAAAGGAGTCTCAACGGGGCTTCCTGTTCACGACACGAGGTACATGTCAAGCTTTTTCTTAATCTAATCACCAATTCCCACTACCCAACACTGGCCAACTCATCTCACCACCCAAATCTTCAGTGCTCCTTGGGAACAAGGGGCTATGTGAGGGGCAGAATTTAACTAGAAAATGTGATACTCTTATTCCCAAGCCTGAGTTCTACTGGGGTAGGAATACATACTCAAGTCTAAAAAGTCTAAAATCACAAAAAGGAAGAAAGAAAGGTCCGCAAACTTAGGTACTTTATAGCTGTTTACTTTTCACGGAAGATGCCTGGTTTACGTGTGGGTTTTTCTGAGCAACAGCATGAAGTACTGCACTGATATTTCCTGTGTCTCCCACCGAACCACAGAAATCCACCTTCGCTAATGATATCTCCCGCTATAAAAACCCCTGGTCACCTTGGAAGCATTTACATAATTAACCTGGATATTAAAACCTGAGCATTGTTATAAAACCACAAATTTGGTCGTATTCTACTTGCAGCAGAGATTTTAGGTCGTGGGTGTGGGAGAGTGGGCATGCATGTACATGAAGTATTTCCCTGGGCAACCAGAAATGGTTTCTTAGCAATGCTTAGAAACCTTCTCTATCTTGTAAGAAGAGCTAAAACTTAAAGTACTGTTTGCTTTAAAATTTTAAGTACAGGAAATCAATTATTTTTAACCATAACTGATGGCTGTGTGAGTTCATTTCCGGGCTTGGAGATCAAGTAAAGAACAGAGCACGAGAGCGGGAATGGGGTGATGAGGGTCTGACGTCAAGAGGCAAAGAAGCTGGTCTCTGTGGCCTAACTGCTAAAAATTCTATCCTATCCTCAGACATTACATGTTTGCCCTTTATAATACTCACATTGACAAAAAAATTCCTTTTCTCAAGAAAATCAAAACAGAAGGAAAAGAAGTAGGATCAGGCCTAAGCTCACTTTCTAAATACCCGGTCCATCCCTACCTCTGACATAACAATCAAAGATTCTCCCTCCCTCTCCTCTCTTACTTCTTTATCAATGGATGCTACAAAACAAAAGTAAATGTTCCTGGCATCCTAAGTTCAAATACAACATCATGAAATTCCACATCCCTTTTCATCCCATCATTTTTTTTTAAAAAAGAGATTCACATCTTCCTTTGCCTCTCACCATCAGGCCAGCTCTGTGTAGGCTGAGATATATTTGGAGTCAAATAATACAGGATATTAATGAAATACCTGCCTTCTTTAGGCCATTTCAGAGCAGTAACTGAAAATAAGACCATTTATATCCTTTCAATTAACGGACCTTACACGGCTGAGTGAATATCTCCCTTCAAAGTAGGGCACCACAGAAGGCTATAAGCTTTACTCTGGCCAAGCTGGCACTGCTCAGTGTATTTCTGGAAGCCCCCTTTTAAGAGCGGACACAGATCCTGTCCCACGCCCTGCCTATAGGTGCATGCACGGCACACACTCACACACATCTGTTGCGATTGTTTATAGTTTGGGATTAAAGTCAAATGAGGCTATGTTATCTCACTTGAAAACCAAACGTTTTCGCCCGGCTGAAGTCACATGACCTCTAAAGCAGGTAACGAAGATCATTCTTGTCTCCCCAAATTTGTCTTCTCATCCTCCACAGAAATGGAATCACAGCTTTTAGCTGTGATTTCCACAGTTACCCACAGGACTGTCTTTTCCCACAGGCCCTGTGCAGTTCTGATCAACAGGATAGGAGCAGCACTGTCACATGGCAGTTTTGGGAGCCTCCCTCTGAAAGCAGCGAGGGCACCACTGCACCCCCTTCCATCTGCTGCCGCGCGGAGGTCACGGCTGGAACTAAAGTAACCTCTCACGCCACGAGATGGAGGTGACACCCCAGGGCTGGCAGAGCAGAAAGGTGAGAGGAGCTCGGGTCCCTGAGGGCTGAGTGGGGCAGAACCAGGACACCAGGCCCTGACTGCCTACCTGGGGAGTTTTATGTGAGAGAAAATAAAATTCTATCCTATTTAAGCCATGGTTACTTATGGTCTCTCTTAGTTGCAGACAAACCTAATTCTAGCTTTCACCAATATTATTTTAAAAAATGAAACTTGCTCTCCATAAAGAAAGATTTCTTATACTGAAGATACTGAAAAAACATATTTATGTTGCATTTAAAAAAAGAAGAAAAAGAACGTGCCATGGCTTTTAGGAGCTTTTCTAAAATAGGCATTCCAAAGGCTCTTCAGTACAGAGCCTCCCAAGGTGACCAGTTAGAAGAGAGGACGGCGCTCGCTCAAATGATTAAGGTTAGGTGTGTTGTGACTCTCTCCCATTCCTTTATTGTCAAATAAACACGGAAGGTCAACTTCTACAGGAGATAAGGGTTTAAGCACAGTTGTGTTGTGTCATGTCGTACCACACACACAGCAATATCCACATACTTTAAAAAGAATTCAAACCCACACACACAGCAGAATTCCCTGGAAAAGGCCTGTTTATGATAAAAGAAGAAAAGCAAAGCATGGAACAAAAGCATGCCTCGAGACTTACGTGGTTATCTTTATGGTAGTAAGAAAGGACAGGAAATCGCCGTCTGCTCCGGAATTTGGAACTCCCCACGATGATGTGTGCCGTGGCCGTTCTGGGAACGTACAGCTCCGTAGGGTAAGAGTCACAAACCTGTTGTGGAAAGCACAAGGGCATGTTTTAGGCAATCTAGCCATACTTTACAAACTGCCACCAGAAATTCCATTTCACTGGGCTTACAGGTTGCATATTTAAGTGTTCTTAACCAAGTTACAGAGCCACTTCAGAGAAGTGGAGTGCTGGTTCTAAGAAATCACAGTGAAGCAAAGCAAGACACTCTTCATCATCCTGCCCTGAGGCATTGCCCCTTCTCTCCAAGGGCTCTTGGTGGCAGGTAAGACAGTGACAAGCGAGCATTTCTTTCATCGAAAAGGGACAAACTGCAATTCTGCATCCTGGCAACTGGGAAAACTTCAGCTGCCTGTTTAAGACAGCCTGACGCTGGGAGACAATGTCCTAAAATGTCAGCACCAGTGGTGACCTCCTCAGGGCACCTTCCTGTCCCTGGCACACCCTCTGTGCGCTCCTATCTGAGGTGACGGTCAAGCCAACACCCTCCCCAGACATCTTCCCAAAGCCCACCCACTCTTCAGGGGCCGACCCAATTCCTCTCCCCTGCGCTCCCACCCTTCACCACACACTACGACAACTTTTTGTTTCTTATGTGACGATTTTAGAAGTGGTAAGAAATGATTTACCCTTTCTGCGCATCCCTGGCACTGATTTCCCCCAGTGGAAGCTCTAGCGCCTCGGAATGGTCCAGCAATTCTGTCAGAAATCAGGGGTTTAAAACCTAGCTCCAACTTGCCAACTTCACGACCTTCAAGAAGTCAAACTACTGAGCACTTGCTATTCTCTAAAACTGACGCGGAACAGAAATGACATCCCCCGGGGCTGATACAAGGACACCCATGACGAGGCTCTTCATCAACCATTAATCCTGACAGAAATGGGAATGGTGGCCACAGTAATAGTAGTCGACTTCTTGCTCGACATATTTTGCTTTGATGGCAGCCAATCCATCCTTTTGCAACACGAGGACCGTTTAGATGGCAGTTCCTGAACTTTGTTTATTTCCTAGAAGTCAAGCACCTCCTTGGGCGCTTCAAGAAGAGTCCTCAAGCAGGTATAGCAGCAGGGGAAATGTGTGTCTGCACGTCCTCTAACCATCCCGCCCGTCCTTACCACTCAAGGGACCGAAGGGAACGAGAACCCGTCACAAAGCTCACATCAGTTGTTCTGTGACAACGCCTCCCTCGCCTGCCCTCCTGCCTACCTTGTCTGCTTCCAGCCTGGGCACCGCATTGAGAAGGAGACAGATGGGCCACAGAAGTGAAGTTCCCAGGCCCAGAGCATTTCCCCAACGGCATTTTAGGCAAGATTACCAAAGACGTCAACGTGGGCTCTGGCACTGAGACAAAAATCCCAGACCAAGAACAGATGGTCCAACCTACTTGGAACCTGAGATTTTACTGGAATTACTGCCCACAGACATTACACTTGCTTCCCTGCAAATCTGCTGTCAGGACCTCTCTGGAGTCAGGCAGCCAGAACATTACTACACAGACCACACCTGCGCGTCTGAGTTCAAGAGACGTAGTCATTGCACCAGACTTAACAATGTTTTCTTAAAATAGCAGTTTTAAAAAGGAAATTGGTAGGTTTTCAGTAAGTTCGCTAAGTTTCAGTAAGTTCAGTAAGTTAAAACAAGTCCTGTGTAATTTTTTTTTAATTAATAAGGGAACGATTTTCTTTGTCCTCCGCTAAATAAGCCTGCCTGGAGTGCCTGCATGTCTTGGTTCCCCTGGCCAAGAGGAACCTTTTTTGGTAATTCTTTCACTCATTCAACAAGTTTTTTTTTTTAACTGAAATATATTTAACATATAACATATAACACTGTATAATTTAAAGTATAAAACATATTTATTTGATACATTTGTACATTGTAATACAATTGCCGTTGTAGTGACAATTAGCACCTCTATCATGTTACATAATCATCCATTCTTTTTAGTGGCTGGAATCATTAAGTTCTAGTTTCTTAGAAGTGTGATGATTATCATAGAATACTGGTGTCTATCAACAAATTTTTACTGAATACTTATTATGTGTCAGGCATTAGGTTAGGTGCTAGAGCAGTGATGAATAACAAAAGATTTACTGGTCTCAAGGAGTTCACATTCCCAGGAATCTTTGATCTCTGTTGCCCTGGTTACAACCTCCCAATACATGTATTTACCACTGCAGCATAGTATCCATCTGAGGGCCAGCCAAGGTTCTGTATTTATTGAGGACCTGTCACTCAGTTGAGCACTTTAGGGCAAGGGTTAGTTGTCAGGAACTGAGATATATCTATAAAGACAACGGTCTTCTTCAACATTTAAGACCTAAAATTTATTTCAAGGAATTTATGATGTAATGGGGAGAAGAAAAGGGGTATGAACAGCATGAAATGATTTGTATATACATAAAATAAAATAATACATAATACATAAACTATAGCTGTAGAGAACTGAAATAAACAAGATTTTTAAAAATTACTGGTTTGGGTTATACTTTCAATTTTATTCCAAGAGAAATAGATTAAAAATTTAACCTAGTAATGAATGCCAATTATTTTATTTAAAGAAAGACAATTTTAAGAGTTAGGTACAGAAAGGAAATCTTAGCTTAGAGAGTTAGATTACCAGAAGCAAGTGTCTTATAAACAGGGATAATAGCAATGTTGATAGAGGTGATTATGATCATAATAATTAGCCTGCCCAAGACCACATGGAGAGAAAAGGGCAGCGCCGGTTCTGGAACCTAAGTCTCTGTGCGCTATGTATGGTGTTATTTCCACCATGGACAAAAGCTTCTTCTCCATCCGATGACATCACTAGCCCCACTTACATCAAATAACTTGTGAAAAGAAAGAAATAACTCTTATAAAAGAAGGGAGGAAAAAGTAGAGGTTTTTCTCAACCATGAGGTTAAAAGCAAAAGTAACGGATGATGACGTAATCTTCCCGATGAACTAACAGTCAGAAATAGTTTGATAGAACCAACTTTTCTTATATTTTTAACTGGTAATAAATGAGGGTTCATCACCTTTCTCGCTATTTCAATGATATTTGTAAAATCAGAAAATCCCCTAGGTTTTCACCTTTTCTGTTTCAACACAGTTTGTTGATTGTTAGTTTGGGTTTGCCGTGTATTACTTTTGGGAAAAAAATGCTGAGTCACTCACGTTTTGCAGTCTCTATACTGTAGGACTTAAGTGACTAAACGTGAGTCATGTTTGTGGTGCTAAGTCTAGAAGGAAACCTCATGAAAAATAACAAGAACCTGTGTTTTCAAGAAAATATTATTCCACAAGACGTGCCTTAGCCTCATTTTCTTCCCCACCCAAGTGTGTGTCATATTTTTTTTAAATTGTAAAAGGATATCCTATTTTCTTTACTAAACTTGGATTTTCCTGCCTTTCATTTCAAGGCTAGAAATTCACTGCAAAGGTTGGCTTTAGCATGGGAACAAACTATTACATTAGCCAGACACTTTATAATGATTGAGACAAAAAGGAACCAAATGTCCACTCACAGTGTAAGATTATGATCGTTAGATTTAAGGGTAATTACAAAGAAAATTCAGTATCATGAAAGTGGCCATTCTATCCCAAATAATCTGTACATTCAATATATCCAGAAGAAGGATGTGGAAGGACCTGACTTGCAGAATATCAAGATTTACTATAAAGCTATAATAATCATAATTAGTGAAAATGTAACTATGGAAATTACACAGTGTAAACTGGGACAAAGGTTAGCGAATAGACCAGGATTTTTTCTTAAACAATATGCTAAAACCATGAAACAAACTAGGAAACACTGACAACTCAAAACTTCTGAGGATTAAAAGATACTCTAGGCACAGTACATAAATATCTCCCAAGAGGAGATATTTGCAACAGCTATAAATGACAACAGGGCAATGTAAAGAAAACCACACTGAGATCTATTTCACACCAATTCAATTGGCATTTTCTCAAATTTAATGTTTTGATTAGTTAATAAATTCACATGGTTATAAAAAAAATAAAACAATACAAAAAGGTGCACAGCCTCACCCTTGTGTTCCATTCATCCCATTCCCACCTACTTTCTATGTTATCACTTTGGGGCAATTACACATCCATATGAACAAGTCTTATTTTTCTCCCTCTTTTATAAAATAAAAGGTATCACACTATATTCACGATACTGTGCATTGCTTTTTTGAACCTAACAATATACTTCAGCGATCTTTCCTTATCAGTACATGGAAATATTCTACATGTTTTTAATGGCTACACACTAATTTAATTATACGAATCGACCCAAAATTATTTAACTGGTCCTCTATTAAAGAAATTTGGGTTTCTTCTAATACGTGCTTTGATAAACAATGCTTCAATAAATAACTGTGTACGTCACTGTGCGTTTATGCTAACTCTTTAGAAGAAATTCCCAGAAGACTGTTGGGTCAATAAGTAGGGATACCACCAAACACTGTAAATACCAACTGTTGGTAAGTCTGTGGGGTAATGAGAAATCATATCTTAGATGTGTAAGTCCACGCAAACACTTTGGAAAAGAATCTGGCAACAATGGGACTTCCCTGGCGGTCCCGTGCTTAAGACTTCGCCTTCCAATGTGGGGAGTCCAGGTTCAATCCCTGGTCAGGGAGCTAGGATCCCACATGCTTCGCGGCCAAAGGACCAAAACATACAACGGAAGCAGTACTGTAACATATTCAATAAAGACTTTAAAAATGGTCCACATCAAAAAAAAAAAATCTTAAAAAAAAAAAAGAATCTGGCAATATCTAGTAAGGCTAAAATCCACATACCCTCTAACTCAGAAATTCTACTCCTAGGTAGAAACTCAAAATGTACTATGAGTCATATATAAGCCAGATAACGGCTTTATTTGAGATGGTAAAACAAAAGAGAGAAATAAAAGAAAAAGAATAAATAAAAGTTTAAACTATGGTATATTTGTAAAATGGAGTATAAGACAACAGTGAAGAATGAGTAAACAAGAGCTATAAGTTTCAACAGTTACTAACTTCTTTACATCTTGGACAGTTACTTAATCTGTCTCTGCCTGAGTTTCTCCATTTGAAAGCAGGGATAATAACAACACCTACCACACAGGACTGCTAACATCTTTTAAGCTTCTAGAACATAGCCTGGCATGTGGTAACTATTATACATATGTTTGTTAAATGAAATGAATCTCACAAATACAACTTGAGTGAAAAGTCAAGTTTCAGTAAGCAACATTCAGCACGATACCGCATACAGAAAGTGTAAAAAAACGCACGAAAAAATACTACATGCTGCTACTTACAAACGTAGAAACGTTATAAATAGAAAGGAATGACAACACCAAATTGCAGTCAGTGACCCTGGAGCAGGAAGTGATTTGGAGGGAATATTAAGGAGGTTTAACAGCATTGGCCATGTTTGTTCTTACATAGTATGCAGCTCCCTGCCGTTCAATTCATTATTTTTCAAAGTTTTGTGTATGTTGGAAGAGTGGCATAATAAATAAACAGCTGTTTTAAAATGAAGAATAATCAATGGAAGAAAGCAGTAAGATGTATATTTCCAAAATGATTACAGGCAAATACAAGAAAAAAACTATCTAGCTATAGATATGAAAAGGGGAAAAACATGACTAGTAAAACCACAAAGCACAGTATCTAGAACAATGTCATAGATATCAGTTACTGCAAAATCAAAATCTAACCATACCTAATTTGAGAAAAAACAACACATTCCACCCTCACAACCCAAAGATAACTACTGTTAGATTATTATTATTATTATTTTCCTGCGGCATGCGGGATCTTAGTTCCCTGACCAGGGATTGAACCTGGGCCTCAGCAGTTAAAGTGCCAAGTCCTAACCACCGGACCACCAGGGAATTCCCACTGTTAGATATTTTTTAAAAGGACAAAACATTCATATAGGATCACTGAAAGTAACGGGATAAGTAGAGCTCTACCAGGAAATTCTGACAAGAAGAAGAAAACAGTAGAAACATAATAATACAAAATAGAATTCAAAGCATTCACAGGAAAAAAGGATATTTTAAGTTGATAAAAAGCACACCAAACAGATGTCCTAAACCATTATGTGCTGGACAACATAACTTCAAAAATATATACTGCAAACACTTTAGAAATGTAAGGAGAAAACGTCCAATCAACAATCATAATGGGAAATTTTTACATACTTCTGTCAGAAATCAAGTGAGCAAAGGGACCAAAATAACATAAGAAACTTAATTTAGATGGAGACAGAATTTTATACCCAAATAACAGAGAATATACATTTTTTCCAGACTCAAAACATTGATAAAATCAAATATTGATAATTAATCAAATATTGGGTGTTTTATGAAGACATAAATCTTCAAAAAATCCCCAAAGTTCAAATCTTACAGGTCACATATACTGCTTGCTATACAAGGGAACAGAAATTAACAACCAAATACTGATCAAAAGCAAAACCATCAATGGCCTGCCTGCTTGAAATCTAAAAAAAAAGATTTAAGCCTCTTATGCCTTGTAATTGGTCCTGGGAATTTATCCTTAGAAAATAATTTAAAATATGGGGAAAATCACACAAACAAAGATATTACTCCCAGAACTATTCATATGGCAAAAATTATGAGTAATCTAAATGTCTAATAATAGGGAAATATTTAAGTATATTATGGTACATTCACTTGATGGAATGTTACACAGTCATTTAATTACTGATACGAATACTGTCACAATATAGAAAATCCATATGGTAAGGTGAAGAAAGTAATCAGGATTCAAAATATGCGGCCAGAAATGGTCAGTTAAGAGTGGACAAGATATAAATGGTCTGCATGTACAAAACTACAATTCAAGAGATGAAGGCGTGAAGATTAAATTGAGAAATCACTTATCCCACTATCAAGCTGTCAAAAGATTTTTAAGAAATAAACTCTTTAATGGTGAAGGTACAAAGACTCAAGCATTCTCCTACACAACTGTTGAGAATTTATATAAATTGGTACAATCTTTCTTTTTTTTTTTTTTTTTTTTTTGCGGTACGTGGGCCTCTCACTGTTGCGGCCTCTCCCGTGGCGGAGCACAGGCTCCAGACGCGCAGGCTCAGTGGCCATGGCTCACGGGCCCAGCCACTCGCGGCATGTGGGATCTTCCCAGACCGGGGCACGAACCCGCGTCCCCTGCATTGGCAGGCGCACTCTCAACCACCGCGTCACCAGGGAAGCCCTGCAGTTCTTTTTGATAATATGTACAAAAATTTGAGTAAACCTTTTGACATACAAATTCCACCTTTAGGAATCTGTCTTTAAAGAAAAGACTTTTAACATGGGCAAAGGTACAGTTACCAGAATGTTCTCACTATGTTATTTAAAATAGTGAAAAATAATAATAACCTAAATGTCTAAAAATTAGAGATTAGACAGATAGAATATGATATAGCCATACTATGTCATATTATATAATGTTTTAAAATGATATAAAATATATTTATTGACAGGATAACACTCACAATATGCTATGTGAAGAAAAGCAAAACACAAGGCATATGTAGTATGATTCCATTTTTGTTGTATATATTTGAACGGTTCCTTTGCCCTGACATTTTCCAAACAATGAAATGCATTACTCATGTAAGAAAAAAGTTATTGGACTATGCAGATGAGAAAAAAATTAAGAAAAAATTTAAAACCTTCTAGAAGAATGTTAGGGCAATGGAATGCCGGCTCTCTTCTCTTTTGTAAATTCTCTGCAATGTTCTTATGTACTTTTATTACTGAAAACACTTTAAAAATTCACAGGGAAACCAACACTGATTTGTAAGTCCACCCTCAGGGAGCATATGGAATTGGCCCTGCCCCTCCTGCTTCGCTGCATCGCCCATTCCCTTCTGTAAGTGCAGACATATTTCTCCTCATTTCTCTAGGGAAGGCTCTTGGTGACCTTGTGTACCAATCAAGAGTTCAGTGAGCACAGAGAGCTCATGCCAAGCTGCCAGCAGAGCCTCTGTGATTCCCCAGCCATCACTCACTGAGCTATAAAAAGACTGGCTGGGAGAAGGAAGGTGCTGGCCCTGAGGCCCACCACTGGGCCTCTCCGGGTTTCCACTCCCTCATCCATTAGAGGAGATGTTCTCTGGGGTGACCCTGTTCACACCTTCTGATTCTAGGTGCAAGTAGGAAACAGAGCTGGCAATAACCAAGGGAGACTTGGGAATCCACACATCTGTACCCACAAAGAGCTATCAAAGTTGAAGGGGATCAAACAGAAGTCATGCTAAACTATGTGAAATCATGGCTTCATCTGGATTAAGTATCTGCAGTTCACCAAATGCCTCCACTCACTCTGTAATCTCTGTTCACATCGCTGAGCTGCCAGTAATTATCAGGGAGGCCCATTCGCTTGTACTCTTCACTGAGATCGATCAGCATCCAGCCTTGTTCCCTTTCTTCTCTATCCAGCTTGGGGTTGAATGAAAAGCAGTACAACTCCTCATATTTCACTGCAAAAAAAGAAAAGGGGAGAATAAAGCCAAATCAAGCCAAGTTAAAGCCAGAATCAAATTTCCCCAAATGCATTCTGTCTGGGCTGGAGAGGCCAGCCCAGCTTCTCACCCCTCGGGGCTCTCCCAGGGTACCCTGTCTCTGAGGTGGGTTCACCCACCTCTTCCCAACAACGACACGACCTCAGGACAACTGAACTCAACTTCACAAGAACTTCTTTTCTTTCAGGAGCATGGCCTTCCCCATCTTGTTTTTTTGTTGTTGTTTGTTTTTTTTGAGTTGCTTCTGAAAGCGAATATATTTTCAGACCACATAAAATATGGAGATTAAAAAGTAATTAAGAATATATGTGTACTTACAATAGCTAAGACACAGAAGTAACCTAAGTGTCCATCAACAGATGAATGGATAAAGAAGATGTGAGATATATATGTGTGTGTGTGTGTGTGTGTGTATATATATATACATAAAATAAGAGTATTAGCCATAAGAAAAAATGAAATATTGCCATTTGCAGCAACATGAATGGACCTAGAGATTACCATACTAAGTGAAGTCAGACAAAGACAAATATATGATATCACTTTTATGTGGATTCTAAAAAATAATACAAATTAACTTATTTATGAAACAGAAACAGACTCACAGACATAGAAAACAAACTTATGGTTACCAAAGGCGAAGGGGGGGTGCAGAAATTAGGAGTATGGGATTAACAGATACACACACTATATATAAAATAAACAATAAGGATTTCCTGTATAGCACAGGGAACCATATTCAATATCCTGTAATAAGCTATAATGGAAAAGAATCTGAAAAAGAATAATATGCATAACTTTGCTGAACTCCTGAAACTAACACAATATTGTAAATCGACTATAGTTCAATTTTTAAAAACAGAAAAAAAAAACCATATATATTCCTTAGAAAACCAGAACTCAAATTTGTTTATGTACGGCTAGGAGCTACCTACTGGACAGTGCAAATCAAAGCATTTCTGGTGATAATAAATCGTGGTTGATACTCAGTGAACCCTTGTTTCATTCCAGATTCTGTTCTGGTTAAATGTACTGACCCATCTAGTAAGCATCATGACAGGTCTCCTTGCACAGATGAGAAATCTGAGGCAAAGGGATATTTTGCAGCGATCCCAGGGTCACACAGCTAGGAGGTAGGGAGTCTGGCTTTCACCACCACGCACTCTGCCCCCGCTCCAAGGCAGACCCTTCTCTCTTCTCCCCAGACAGGCCGCTTTTGTATATTTTCTTTCCAACCATCCCCCTAATCTTTTTTTTTTTTCAACAGAATTTTTCCTCCTTACAGCTTTCTTAGATCATCCCATTTGTTCCTTCATCTGTCAATGGCGTTCAGCATGGACACTTCAGTGCTCCTAAATGTGTGTCTGGAGGACCAACAAAGCATCTCACCACCAGCAAAAGGCTGCAATAATACACAGGCAGCCTAAGGTCAAAACTCAAGTTTCCAGCTTCCTTTGATTACTACTGAAATGACTCATCTACTAGAATGATAAGATAAGGGTCATATTTTAAGTACCCAACTTTTGAGTTAGACATGCACTCTTTCTTGTAAAAAAGAAGCGAGAAGACTGGGGTTTATCAGTGAGATAAGCTATGTCTATTTCATTCTCTCTCGATGTCGTATTTCTAAATTTGAAAATTGAGCATACTGAGATTTCAACGAAGAAAATGCACACATACAGGTACATGTACACGCAACACACACACTCACACACACAGCACAGACACTTCCAGTAAAAACGGTTTCTTGTCATCTTAGCAAATTGAACAGACAGCATATTAAATTGACATCCTGTTCTGGGAACGGTCGGCTCAACACTGACATATGTTTTCCATCTCTAAGTACCATTTTCATGACTCAGGCTTCTGATATCATAATGTTAACCACAAATGCAATTTGTTTAAGATGCCAAGAGAATCTCTTGAGAAAGCCTCAGTTCCTTCAGTGAAAGAAGAGCTAAGGAAGATGGGGTAATAATGGAAGTTAAATTCCATTTGCTAAATGCCTACAAATAGGTTTAAAGGTAGAAGAAGAAAACCATTCTATGATTGCAGGGAGTTTTCTATGTATGGGCTCATTCTTGCTGTCATTGGGAAGAGGTGAGGAAACTGCACATAAATTAATGCAAGAATAACTTGTCACCGACATTAAGAAGATCACTCTTGAATTGGGAGACATCAGAATGGGTTGCCACTGAAATAATGAAATTTTCTCTTTCAGTTAATTTTTTTTGGGGGGGGGTTCGCGGGTCTCTCACCGTTGTGGCCTCTCCCGTTGCGGAGCAAAGGCTCCGGACGCTCAGGCTCAGCGGCCATGGCTCATGGGCCCAGCCGCTCCGCGGCATGTGGGATCCTTCCGAACCGGGGCACGAACCCATGTCCCCTGCATCGGCAGGTGGACTCTCAACCACTGCACCACCAGGGAAGCCCTCTCTTTCAGTTATTTTTAAGGAAAAGGGTGATCAACCATACCTTTGGCCCAATTTACCTAAAATTCTACATGCGGGCAGAGAAACACATTTTTGTCAGTCAAAGCTCAGTCTTGTTAATGTGGGCAAGCTTCTTGCCCAGAGGCCAGCTCAGGAGAAGCCCTCAGCTAAGAACTGTCTACTCTGAGAAATTAAGAAATACCATTAACAAAGTTGTAAATTTTACTGAATATTTCCCATTCATAAGGTTTTGTTCCCCTCATCTCCATCTCTTGCAAAATACACAGCAGAATGTTTAGTAATCAACATTATTAAGATAAGTTAAGTAAGGTAGGTAAATTAAAACCAACAACAACCAAAGTAGGGCTTTGAGAAATCTCCGGTCCTTACAGAATCTGAACTGGGAGAAAATACTTATGTGCTTTGGGAAGGCCAAATCCCTGATTTTCCACCCACTCTTAAAACAAACACGTTAAATACTCCACTGGCTTTTCACGTCGCAAAGTCTAGGCCATCACATCCAACATAAAACGCCTTTTGCTGATCGTGGCCTGGCACCTTCAACAGGGGATGCATTGAAGGCTTTGCCCCTTGGGGCCTCATGACTAGGAGGGCAAAAGAGCTCCCCCAACAAGAAGCAAACCCTCAGCATGCCTTTGGATGGTGGGGCGGGGGGAGGAAACTGAATGTGCACCTCTAATTAAAAAAATTTTCAGAAAAGCTTATGTGGAAATCATTCTAGCACTTCCTTTATTTACCTACCTAAATCATATAACTGCTAAACAAGGGCAGACTTCTATTTAGAAAGAAAAATGGCAATTTCTCAAATACTACATTAAACTAAGAATGAGTAGCATTTTGTCTGTGGTTCTAAGAAGGCCAAGTCAGTGTTTCAGGACTAAGCAGAGGCGCATGAGCTCCACCCAAGCACAGAGACACACAGATGGGATTGACCTTATCTTATTTTAGCATCATTGTCCAGTGCACGCCTTAGCACAGGGCAGCATGCATGTGTGGCTGCAATCGACTGATACCTACTGCTCTCATCAACTCCTTCCCGCTCAGATAATCCCCCTTTCTACTCCTGGAGAAGACATGGGCCATCAAGTGGCAACTCTTTCAACCTGGAAGCACCAAGCCTACAAATGGCCTTGCCTCAGCATCTAACCTCTGCTCCTTCCTCCCGTAAGAAAGGAAAGCGTGTTCATTCCACCAAATAAGAGAGCCTTCGGGCAGAACAAAGCAGTTAGGAAAACAGAAAAGAAAACATGGGGGCATTCTCTCTTATTATTGACTAACTGGGAAAAACCGAAGGTAATTTATACTAAAATCAAAAGTACTTTAAAAATCGAGGGCTTCCCTGGTGGCGCAGTGGTTGAGAGTCCGCCTGCCGATGCAGGGGACACAGGTTCGTGCCCCGGTCCGGGAAGATCCCACGTGCTGCGGAGCGGCTGGGCCCCTAAGCCATGGCCGCTGAGCCTGCGCGTCTGGAGCCTGTGCTCCGCAACGGGAGAGGCCACAACGGTGAGAGGCCCGCGAACCACACAAAAAAAAAAAAAAACTAAAGGAAACTTGTAACAACCAATGTAAAACCTGAATAATCCAATTACATTATTGACTGTTATGCAAATTTTTTTAAAAATCGAAAGGAAACACAAACATGAATTAGCATCAGCAGAATGTGAAGGATGAGGAAGGAAAGGGAAAAGTCACCAGCAGTCACTGGAAGAACACAGAGGTTTTAGAACCCAAAGTAAACCCTAACCCTTAACTTTAGAAAGTTAAATTGCTCTACACGCCCTAATGAACTCAGGCAACTGAAAATAAACGTAGTTGAAAAACCATTTAAAGAGGGGTGAGAAGATAACACAGCTATTAATTGGACTTTGCATATTAAAAAAAAATGAGAACTTTCTTGTCTATTTTGAACAAACAAGTGCTCAAATTAAACATCAGGATTGTGGAAGCTAACACATAGTAAAAAAGGGCTATGGGACCCGGAGATTAGTATCATCAATAAAAAGGAAATTGTTACTGTAAAAATTGCTTGAGTGGCACTGACTGAGATAAGAACAGTAAAAAGTTAAATTAGGCAAATTAGACTATATCAATCCTGAGATTTTTAAAAATCACAATAAACATGCTGAAGAATTAGGGACTAGGATGGGCTGAAAAAATACTGCAATTTAATAAAAAGTGGGAAAATAAACAAAAGAGATGGCTTAAATATTAAAGGACCCAAGAATGCTACAGAGGGAAAGATAATTGATACAAAAAAATAAACAGCAGGAGGCTAATTAGAGGGAGGAGAAAAGAAAGAACATGGGGAAAATGGAAACCCTCTGAGAAACAGGGGTCTTCAAATCAGAAAAATGTATAACCTTATTAGTACATCAGATCTACAGCATTAATTTCTTTTCTCATTTGGGCCACAGCCCTATTTTAACTTATCTCTTTACGAAGAATTAAGGAGCTTACTGGATTTGGCTACGTTATTTTTTGGCTGGGATCTTTTAGAGTCCATGACCAAATTCTGACCAATCTGAATTCATATGAAAGACAAACCAATAAAATCTAGACAAATTTTTTAGTCATTTGATTTACCCTTATCCCAGAAATCGTAATTCGGTGAAGACAGACTCGCAAGAGCTTTGAAGCTATCTCCTTCACAGGCCTTGACTGAAATGGACTCCCAAACATTTCTTCTTTTGTTAAAAAAAAAAAGTGTCCTCTACAGGACCTTAGCTGTGCCCATAAGGGGAGCTGAAAACACATGATTTGTGCTGGTGACCAACCACAATAACCCCAGAGATGGATATTGTGCTGCTGGAATTCAAAGTCATTTCCCCACCAAACACACACACACACACACACACACACACACACACACACACACATACCCCTCTTCTGAAATATCTTGAGGAGTGCAAAGGTGTAATTTGTAAAAGGTCCTGGGATGGTCTGAGAAGCCACCACACTCCTGGTGGAAACTCCCTCCACCTTGCCTCACCTCCACCCAGATTCAACACCCTGCTTCCACGGTGACAGGCTGTAATATGTCCTAATTTTAGCACTGCCTTTAGCATTAAACTGTGAAGCTGCTTGGATTCTATTTCCTCTTCCTATACTCATGAAAGTACTAGGTTTTACATAAACTGGCATTTCTAATTCCAATCTTCCACAATGCTGGTGGCTTTTTAAAAAATCTTCTAAGGTAATGGCTTTAATTCAATTAATGACTATAATTTCTTTCTTTGGTCTCTGGCTACAGCTAATACTGAACTCCCAAAACTTCATCTTTAAGAAAAAGTGTATATTTTTAAAAGCAGGGGAACACAGTGATTTTCCTCCCTGGGGACCCTCGCAATGTGAATCTGGGCACTCACTGTCATCTGGGGCCAGAGCCCTCACCGCCACTGTGATCTACTCTTCCAGTGCCTCAGCCCTTTCCCAGTTCTCTGGGCTATTCCTAAATCCCATTAATCCGGTCAGAGCACATTTATCATCCAGTACATCCATTAATCAGTGACACAGAAACTGCTGGCGCGCAATTCCCCTTGCATTCTCTGCTACATGCAACCTCACGTACATCTTCCCAGAACTTCTGTTCCAATTATAGTGCGCCCTCCAAAAAGTTCAACTGCTTTTCTGGCTAACTCGGCAGTTCTTTTCAACACACTGAGATGAAAAAGCCTCAACGGGCTGACTTGAAAGGGGAGCAAAGTCAAGTTCATAATGATCAGATTCTGATGTTCCCATCACGTAACTTTAGCTCTCAGCTCTCAACAGACAATACAGTTGTATCATAAGAACCTGAGGACCCAACCAAATGCTTTGAAGAGTTTACAATCAAACTTCTTGTCCTGAATCAAAAAGCATTTAGTAAAGTAACTATAAGCACACGTCCTATCTCCCTTATTAATGACTTCTGGGTAAACACTACCATGGATGTTACTCTTATACAAATGATCTCCTTTCACTGTATACTTCCAAGACACTGAACGAAGGAACCCTACAGTTCACACAAGCCACGTACACTAGAAACACCTGTGTAGATTTTCATACATTTACAGCATAGTAAGCTATAAATTTCTTAAGACTTAAAGCATAATAAGCTATAATTCTAAAGACCCTACGTTGAGGGATATATAACCAGAGAGTAACTGATAGCATATATTTTTCAAATCAGCCATTCTTCCCACAACACTTAAGGAGGTTTTGTTTAGGAGAATCAACATATACATACCCCGAACATTCACTGATGCTAACAAAGGTCTAGTTATGCCAACCTTGGGAAATACATATCACTATCAAAAAGCAACAGAAACCAAACCTTAAAAGCCCCCAAATAGGGAAAACTGCCCTAGACCTGTTTGATATCAATGTTTTCCACACAAAACCATTTGTGGGTTTTGTCTTAGGGCTCAGTCAAGGTGGCTTGACTACCACAGTATCAGAAGGGCATACTTTGGGATGATTTCACCCCGAAAGTGAAGCACAACTAAAACCCCCTCCAAGATAAAAACTATGACTAATGAAAGAAGCTCATACAGTAAGTAACTCAGACAGAGGCGCCCCCCCAAAAGACAAGGAACTCTATCAGTCAGATTTCTTGGCCTCATCTGAAGGCTGGGATAATTCCTAAAGTACTGTAATTATGAAGGATTATCCATATTTCTTCAACACAATCTGTGAATGTCTTAAGAGTGGGTCCAAGCTGAATGCCGAGCCGCTCTGCCCTACCTGGCCTTGCAAGGCGGATGAGAGAGATGTAAACGTCATGGCAGTCCCTTTCCTGAGGGATGATGAGCTGTAAGAGCTGAAAGTTCTTGCAGCGAATGAGCAGAGGGCACCCGGTAGCCGTTGTCGCCTGTTTCTCGATGGTGGAAATCTGACTGTGAAGAATCTACCACCAAAAGTTAATGTGGGTAAACTAAGCACAAATAACAGATACATAGGACAAAAAGTAACACAGATCTCTGAGCCACACACATAGACAAGAAACACTCCCTGACCTTCAGCTGGCTTGCACTCAGATGACAAGAATCTACGTGTTTGGGGTAAGAGCCCACTGTCTGAATTTAACATTTTATTCTTCAGTGCCAAGCTTTCTGATATCCAAGCTAATTATATGAAGCAAACTATTCGGCATACAATTCTGCACAGGTCCAGGTAAGGGAACATTTGGGCCGTCAAATGTTGAAATGCACTGAGTAGCTAAAATTAAACAAGGTCATGAGAAGTTAGTAAAGTAAACCTTGCAATCAACAAAAGTTAGAGACAGCTCCACTGGGAGGTGCCACCATGCTCCTCAATTCCACATGGAATGCTCTCAAGTTCAACAGCAACGTGAGATTGTTGTTTTCGAAGCTCTTGGTGGTCAGGCAGGCTACAGAAGAGATTTACTTGAAAGGAAATCATGCTGAAGTGCTCAGGCGTTTCAGGAGGGTCTCTCTCTGTTCAGCCCTCAGTGGCAACACTTCATTCTTTAAATTCCTCTCCACTAAGTAGTGCCTGCCACCTTCTGCTGAAAAGATAAAGTCTACAGACTACAGAAAAGGCAAAATCTACAACTCAGGGACTCTGGTTCTGGTCATAATGTCATGGTTGGGTGGCTATATAAAATAAGAACATCTAATGGTCTCATTATTATGTAGCAGAAATACCTGATGATGGGACTGTTCCCTAGACTTTTTTTTCTTTTTTAAGTTATGAGAAAACCACAGACAACATAATAAGATGACTAAACGGCCTGCATTACAGGATGCTACAAATGAAGTGGATTGCAAATAAAGCACTGTGGAAATGCTGTATCTGGTACACTAACATTATTGAATCTCTACTTGACAGCTGTGACACGAAGCACTTACAGCTCTGGCTATTTCTATGTCTCTGATGATGTTCAAATAATTGGTGCTTAAAATGAGTAAACAGATCAAGTGGATGTGCCCCTTTACAGAAAAAAGGCAAGACCCACGTTCCAAGAAGAGTCCTCTGAACACCCAGACGCCAAATCCCACCCTCCTCACCCTAAGGACAAACAAAAAAAGAGGGGGTCAAAACTTGTTACTTAAAACAATGGAAAACACATAAAGCCAACAATAAGGAATGCATACCCATGTTTCTTTCCTTGTGTCAGGTGCATTTTCCACAAATATGACATGAGTAGCCGTCAAATACAAAGTACCAAGGGCCGCCTTTTTAGAAGATATTCGATCTACCAAGCGGACATTTTCAACCTAGAGAAATCAATGTGACAGGGTTAGAGGAGAGCAAAAAAGCTATTCACAAAAAGCAATCAGTAAGTAATCTCGAGCTTAATCCAAATATGATTTTGAAAATTCTCCCAATAATAAAAACCAAAACTTTCCCTCTTAATTAGATCTCACAATGATTCTGTATATCAAAGGATAAAAATTCACCAATTCCTTAAATGTACCACAAAATAGTTATAGACCCTATTTTTTTTTTAAGATCTTTACTGGAGTATAATTGCTTTACAATGTTGTGTTAGTTTCTGCTGTTTAACAAAGTGAATCAGCCATATGCATATACATGTCCCCATATCCCCTCCCTCTTGCATCTCCCTCCCACCCTCCCTATCCCACCCCTCTAGGTGGTCACAAAGCACCGAGCTGATCTCCCAGTGCTATGCGGCTGCTTCCCACTAGTTATCTATTCTACATTTGGTAGTGTATGTATGTCCATGCCACTCTCTCACTTTGTCCCAGCTTACCCTTCCCCCTCCCCTTGTATAGATCCTATTCTTTAAGAATACCCTTTCTGTGTTTTAAATAGGTCAACATTTTTACTTCACTGTAATTATGTAATTTTAAGGCAGGAAGCATACACATGAAAGTTGAGTTTACACATTAACTATATATGAATAGCATTCTATTAAAAAAATAATGTATTTTCCTATGTGTTTCTCAGTTGTAGAAATGGCCCCAAGGTTATCTGCTTCCATATAAACTAGTAGGAAATACAAATATACATACAGGAGCAAAAAGTATCAGAAGAATGTTCTGCAATGCTTAGCAAGAAAATCTACCAAATTAAGATGCTAATATTTATAATAAAATCTTTCTAATAAATAGAATTCTCACCCCTGAGCTAAAATTCAAACTGCTACAGGAGACTTCTGGAAACAACTTTTATCAAGCATACATCTCTGAAATGTAGAGTAATTTCAAGAATATGTGCATCGGGGTCATTTCAATATGAAATGTAAAGGAAATGACAAGACAGTTTCTACAAACGAAAAAAGCAGCAATGACGACTCCAATAAGGCAGAGCCACCCCAAACACTCGATGAACATTCTAGTAAGGATGGCAGTGCTTAGCAATGCTACTTACTACTGCCAAGGATTAACCATCTACAAAAAGATATACTACCAAACGTAAGGTAGACAGCTAGCGGGAAGCAGCCGCAAAGCACAGGGAGATCAGCTTGGTGCTTTGTGACCACCTAGAGGGGTGGGATAGGGAGGGTGGGAGGGAGACACAAGAGGGAGGGGATATGGGGATATATGTATATGTATAACTGATTCACTTTGTTATAAAGCAGCAACTAACACACCATTGTAAAGCAATTATACTCCAATAAAGATGTAAAAAAAAAAAGAAAAAGACACTGGCTCAACCCTCATCCCTCAAATCAGGATGGTGACTTGCTTCCATGAGGCAGCTGAGAGACTAGTGAATCATATGTGCTCCATTCTTTCGTCTGATATAGAAGCTGTTGTGCTGATGCAGTTGGAGAGCCCAAGGCTTCTCAACCGCTCCAGGAAGCCCTGCGGGGACAGCGGACTAAATGGACACCCCTCAGGACCGTCAGGACAACTCCAAGGGCAAACATCACTCCACACATTCCACTGCCTCAGTTTCCTCTGAGCCCTTAGAACCAAACTAGCCTTCTGGGAATAGTACTTGAGGGTGTTGTCCCACTTCTTCCCAATTTCCAGGGGTCTAATGAGGCAAATAAAGAATCAGGTATTTACTATATTTGGGGGGCATACAATTTATGCGGGGGGTGGTTGCATCATTCCTGAGGCCTTGTGAATGTCTATGTGTATCAAGAATGGTCATTCAACAGCAGTGTTCTTAACCTACCAGCTTATGGCTTCAAAAAATACTTCTTTTGAGGGCTTCCCTGGTGGCGCAGTGGTTGAGAGTCCGCCTGCCAATGCAGGGGACATGGGTTCGTGCCCCGGTCCGGGAGGATCCCACATGCCGCGGAGCGGCTGGGCCCGTGAGCCATGGCCGCTGGGCCTGCGCGTCCGGAACCTGTGCTCCGCAACGGTAGAGGCCACAACAGTGAGAGGCCCACGTACCGAAAAAAAAAAAAAAAAAACTTCTTTTGTTACTACAGTGCTCCACATTCTTTCACATGGTTATTCATCAGCCTGTCTCTTTCGTAAATGGTCCTCACATCATTGGTTTACTTTCATACCAGGTGGTCATCATTTCTTATACATTCATGAAAACTGTTTATATAGTAAGGATAGTAGCCTATGGCTTAATTGTTATTTGTATGTTTTATAACTGCCTCTTTACCAAACTCTTTTACTAGTTCTAATAATTCTTTCACCAAAGTCTCTTGGATGTTCCAAGTAGACAGGAATATTTTCCGTAATAATTTCTCTCTTCCTTTCCAATATTTATAACTTCATTCCCCTTGTTTAATGGCATTAACTAGAACCTTCAGAATAACAGTAAATAAGAGTGGTAACAACACTCTTGTGTTGCTTTTCATTGGTTTAATAACAGTTTTATTGAGACAGAATTCAGATACCATACAATTCACCCATTAAGAGTATACGACTCAACGCTTTTTAGTATATTCACAGCACTGTGTAGATCATCACTGTGCAACCACTACTACCGTCAATGTTAAAGCATTTTCATCACCCGAGGAGGAAACCCTGTTCCCAGTAGCAGTCAGCCCTCTTTCCCCACTAACCACCTCAGCACTAGGCAACCATCAATCGACTTTCTGTCTCTATGGATTTGCCTATTCCAGACACTTCATATGAACTGAATCGTACAGTCTGTTGTACTCTGTGACTGGTTTATTTCACTTAGCATCATGTTTTCAATCCGTGTTTCAATCAAAGTTCATCCATTTGTAGAATGTGTCAGTACTTCATTTATTTTTACTGTCAAAAATATTCCATTATATGGATATACCACATTTTAATTTATCTATTTGTCAGCTGATGGACATTAGGGTTGTTTCTACCTTTGGTTATTATTACTATTTTTTTTTTTAATTATTTATTTATTTTTGGCTGTGTTGGGTCTTCGTTTCTGTGCGAGGGCTTTCTCTAGTTGCGGCGAGCGAGGGCTACTCTTCGTTGTGGTGTGCGGGTCTCTCACTATCGCGGCCTCTCTTGTTGCGGAGCACAGGCTCCGGACGCGTAGGCTCAGTATTTGTGGCTCACGGGCCTAGCTGCTCCGCAGCATGTGGGATCTTCCCAGACCAGGGCTCGAACCCGTGTCCCCTGCATTGGCAGGAAGATTCTCAACCACTGCGCCACCAGGGAAGCCCTGGTTATTATTAATAATGCTGCTATGAACATTCTTATACAAGTTTTTTCTCATACAAGTTTTTATGAGGACATATGTTAGGTGTATATATACCTAGGAATGGAATTGTGCCAGTTCATATGTAACTCTCTGTTTAACCTTTTGAGGAACTCCCAGACTATTTTCCAAATCCAAAGTGGTTGTATCATTTTACATTCCCACCACCAATCTAAAAGGGTTCTAATTTCTCCATGTCTTTGCCAACCCTTGTTAAATAATTTTTTTTGATCATAGCCATCCTAGTAGGTATGAGATAGTATCTTGTGACTTTTAGTTGCATTTCCCTAATGGTTAATGATGCTAACATCTTTTCATGTGCACATCTGTTTTTAATGGGAACACTTCCTATATTTTACCCTTGAGTTTGATGTTGATTTTTTTAAAAATCACATAGTGGAAGTGACCTACTCCTATAAGAGTTTTGATTTTTGAAAATGAGGAATGAACATCATGCCTTTTAAATATATATTTGGATGAATATTTACTTTTTTATTTTAGTCCTGTGCTATTAATAATAGTAATAGATTTCCTAATCCTTAAAGAAGTCTTGGATCTTGGTATATGATCAACTTGGAATCGGTGTGTTAGTGTTTCAATACTCCTTATATTTTATCTGCTATAATTGTTTTATTCTTGTTTTCCCTTTTGGTTTTTTTGCATCTATGCTTTTAAGAAATCATTACAGTTAAAATTACATAAATTAATTAGGAAGCTTTCAACATACAAATTACTATTTGAAAGAAATATGGGTACTTCTTTATTCAGAAACAAGACTTTAATAATTCATTCAATTTTTTGTGCAATTATAGATCTGTTCAACGTTTCTATTTTTTACTAAATCTCATTTTGATAGCTATTTTCTTTTCAAATTATCTTATTGCCGATTTTCAAATTCTTTACAATCTTTTAATTCTTGTCTGTGCGTAAATCCCTCTCTCCTTACCCCTTCTCTCATTCCTAATATTGTGAACTATGTTCTTATTTCTTTGTGATTAGGTATGCATATGTTTTTCTTCTAAGTAACAGGTCTTGGATTTATCAAGTTAATTTTTCTCTTTTCCAATCATTACTTTCTGCTTGTGTTTGTTAATAAATGTTTTAACATGCTTTCCTTGAGTATATCATGTGGTTTTTGTTTCTTTGTTCACTTTAATTTTTTTTATAATTTTTTTTTTCTTTTTGGCTGTGCCATGAGGCATGTAAGATCTTAGATCTCTCCCGTTGCAGAGCACAGGCTCCGGACGCGCAGGCTCAGCGGCCATGGCTCACGGGCCCAGCCGCTCCGCGGCATGTGGGATCTTCGCGGACCGGAGCACGAACCCGTGTCCCCTGCATCGGCAGGCGGACTCTCAACCACTGCGCCACCGGGGAAGCCCTTTATTTCTTCTTTGACCCAAGAGTTCTTAAAGAGAATATTTTTCAATTCCCACGGGATTGGATTATGGTATTTAAATTTTTGTCATTAAACATTCTATTCTGAAGTGACTATGAGAAAGATATCATGGAAGAGACTGTGGGAGGAGAAAAGCAAGGGGATATATTATTTTTAGGACATTTCTATGGGGAAAAACTCATTTGCATGCTGAAATGTGCCTAGCTAAATTAACCAGAGGTCCAGGATTGATATACCAATTAAAAATATCTAAAAACA